AGAAATGTCACGTAGGATGAATGATGAGATGAAGGAGAGAGAAATCATAAGAAAAGGCTCTTAAGAGAAGACGAGAGATGAGTTCTTAGCACAATATGTCTCAGCACGTTTTTAGTAATAGCTAGTTATTAAAGATAAGGCTAAGACTTAAAATTACATGCAAGACTTCATTTTTTTGTCATCTTTAAATTACATGCAAGACTTAAAATAAAACTATCTTATCACGCATTGTACAATGCCCTCAGTCGGTGGCCTGATCTTACGAAGAAAGGTGCATCACGCTCTTCCTGTTGCCTCTTTACGGACAGACTCGATCGGTTCATGCGTGATCCGTCAATCCTCTCTCGGCTCTCCGTTGCATTCGAAGGCGATCAAGGCAGGCAGCGTGACCTGGCGTGTGGGCTGGAATTGTAGTGGGGCAACGAAGGAATGCAATATTGACGTTTGTTCGTTCCGTTGCACCAGGGACCATGGTCTAGGGGTGTAACAGCAACACTGTCGACTGTATGTGTAATGTTTTGTAGGGGTAGCAGCGGGAAAATATCAGGTGCTCCCATCCTTGGGGTGCCCACCCATGATCCACCTTCAAAACATCGTTTTTAAATGTTTCAAAAATTTCATAAACAAAAGTGAATGCTCACAAGAAACGTGGATACAATTCCTAAAAGTTTTAGGTACAAACTCGAACTGTATATTGAGAAACAAAAAAAGACAAATTCAGATGTTAATAATGTCAAATATTGTTTTTGTCTTTTTTGACACTATTCATGCTAGATTTCACATTTTCGTTTATCAATTTTTATTTCGAGTCTGGATCTGAAATTTTTAGGACTTGTAGTTACATTTCTTGTGAACATTCACAATTATTTTTCAGAATTTTTTGGAACATTTAAAATTGACTTTTTTGAAGTTGGAGTATGGGGAACACCCCAAGGATGGGAGCACCTGATATTCCCCCGAATAGTAGCGGCCGCTCCTATCCTATTCAATTCAACACTTCTCCTTGATGGGACGTGTGTTTTGCCATTCAACGCGGTCCTGTATCGATCCGCTTGACTTCCGACAATCATAGCCCACTAAAACCCTCTCCCACGTCCATATGCTTTCCTACTGGAACCGGCTAGTTTCGCTTGAGAGCATCAGTGTTGCATTCATGCCTGCCCAAAGTAGACGTGATCATCTCTCATATCGCTCCGTGATATGTCATCAATAATTTTTGATTATTTCATACTATTATATTATCAATCATGTATGCTTTATACATGATTTTATATCATTTTTGAGAACTAACCTATTAACAGTGCCAAGTGCCAGATGTTGTTTTTCTGCATGTTTTGGTTTCACAAAAAATCCATATCAAATAGAGTCCAAAAGTGGCGCGTATTCTGGGTGCAGGTCTAGAGCTTCGAGGGGCAGATGGTGCTTGGCAGGGGCTGTCAGTACTTCTGCAGCCGCCACGGGATCGTCCCCGGCGACCTCATCGTCGTGCGGATCTCCGGCCTGGGCATGAAGGTGTAGATTTACAACCACAACAACTCGATCTTGTGCAGGGTGCGCTGCACAAAGCACAGCTGCGTCAGCGACTTCACCCACGCTCTTTAGATCGTCAGTCAAGTACCCGGTCATAGTATGAACTATTATAGTAGTTTGTGGTCGTGGTTATGGTGACGGTGAACTTGTTAATATTTTGGCCAGGATCAGCACCCTTGTGTCAAGAAGGGGGGCATGTGATGCCCCTGCTGTCTTTAACGATGGCCCTAGTATGTTAGTTAGCCTCTTAATCTGCTGTTATCTTCATGTGCATTGCTTGTTTGCCTCTTATCATTTGTGCCAGTTGTTGTGCTTCTAATGTGGTGGTAAAGCCACCACATTTGAATGGGGTGAGCAGAACACAAACATGTATGTAGTCAAACAACTGTGGTTTGCATTTGCTCTGCCCTTGAGCACATATGCTGGCAACCAAACACCCAACCGCAAAGTGCTCACTGATGCAATGCAGGCAACCAGAGGGACTGTGGTATCCCCAGCCCATCAGGGTTCAAGTCCTGGTGTTCGCATTTATTCCTGAATTTATTTCAGGACTTCCAGTGATGCGCATTCAATGGGAGGAGACGTTTCCGTCGATGACGAGGTGCCTACGGCGACTTTGTAAATTTTAAGATGATATATGCCGGCTCAGTCTTTCGGAGGTGCTCATAGGGGTAGGGTGTGCTGGTGTGCGTTCACAGGGATGAGTGTATGCGCGTGTACATGAGCGCTTGCGGCTGTACTATGTTAAAAAAACATACATATATTGGTTACTTTCTGAAGTTCACACCGAGAGTGCCGCTCATAGTGAGGTGAGCAGGGTTTCTTCAGGTCGAAAGCAGAGTTTCATGTGAAAAGCAGAGCACCGAGCAGAGGAGGAGGATCACTAGGAATGAATATGCTGGTGGCCTGGTGGGGTGCCTTCTCGTGCGATCGGCTGTTTGTTGCGGCCTGTTTGGGTTGCCCTGCATGAGCGGTTGGTTCTCCCGCGTGTTCTCGTGCATTCCCGCGCCACGCGTCGTGCCGCCATTGGGGGCCCTGGATTAGGCTCCCTTCCCTCCCCTCTCCACCCCGAGCCTCTCGCTGGCCACCTCACTCCGCCTCCTCTGTTCGGTTCCCTCCCCAGCTCTCGTCTCCCGACACTCCAAACCTCAGCCATGGCGGAGCGTCTCGCGTCCTCGGCCTCCCTGCTCCCCAGCGCCGCCTCGCCGTCCTCGTCGACCCGCCGCGCCGCCGTCGCCTCTGGGCTCCGCCTCCGCCCGTCGCCGTCGCGCTTCTCACAGGTCCCTCGGTTCTCTCCTCTTCCTGTGCGTCCAGCAAGTTCGATTGGACCTACCTACCTACCGTTGCCGAGCTGCTTGCTTGCTTACCTTGTTCAACTCAACTGCGTAAGGAAGGCTGCGAGGAGAGCGCGCGGTGGCGCTGGCGCCGCCGGGGTGGTGCCGCGGCTGCGGGCGGTGCGATGCATGGCGGCGTCGGAGGCGGCGCAGCTCAAGAGCGCGCGGGAGGACATCAAGGAGATCCTCAAAACCACCTACTGCCACCCCATCCTGGTACTCTTCAGCTCCACTCTCTAGGCTGCAAATCGATCATCGTATTAATTCCTGCTAACAAACTGACAGTATATTATTGCATTGCATACCCAAACTGAAACAGAACAAAAGTTTGAGTCGTCAGAGCATCTCTATCAGATCGCTCAAAAATCATCTTACTACCTGAATCAAAATTTTAGCTTGTCTCCCTCAAATGTTTTCTTCACTTGCCGTTTTATGAGCGCAAAAGTAGGGACACGCTTGTCCGCCGGTGGTGGCCGCGGCGAAACTGGGGATTGTTGGGCTGGCCGCCGGCTGCTGCCTGGCACTGATCCCAACGGGCGATGACGAAAACAGTTGGCGCGCCACGCCGCAGCCACCCGTGCCTCTGTGGTTTCTAGTCCGCGTGGCACTCGGCAGCGTCTTTTTTTGTGTTCACCTGTGTGCTTTGCTTCTTGGAATCTTGGCATCATTGAAGCTATCAAAAAGAGTTGAGATGAGTACTTCACAGAGGGGGCACATGATCAACGCTCGGATTAGGATGCTGGCCTTGGATCGATTCACAGTTGTCGCCAACAAGCAAAGTCTCGGATTAGGATGCTGGCCTTGGTATTGTTTGTTTGTCAGTATAGTCTTATCAGCAGCAGAATTGTAAAAGTGCACAACTCAGGAAAAAAATAAAAGGAAGGCTCCCAACGAAAGTGCTACCTGGGTGTGTGCTCTCTGACGTTGCTCTGTTTTTTTTAATTCTACCTTGCTCGCATCAGAGAAGAGATTCACCGAGCTGCGATAGGCGTCCACCGACAAACGTGCGTAGGGAGACATATGAGAGTGCAAACAACAACCCAGTAGGAGTCCAGGAGAGGCTCCCTAAAACTTACAGGAGTGAAGGATGCAATACCATTGATACCTGATGGAGATGAGCATAATTGTGATGCATGTCAATTCTGTCAGATGACACGAAACAAGTCCCTTCTTGCAGAAATGGGTGAAGGGAGGATATCGTCAATTCTAGGAAACAAACCTAAAAATTCCGATCATCATATACATGTCACATATCGTATGCAGGTGCTAAAATTTTCTATTATGTTCAGGTCCGTTTGGGATGGCATGATTCAGGTACATATGACAAAAATATCGAGGAGTGGCCACAGAGAGGTGGAGCCGACGGAAGCTTAAGATTTGATCCCGAGTTGAGTCATGGAGCCAATGCTGGTATTTTGTCAGACTAATTTTGAGCCTCAAGCCTTGTACCTTCACAAGTGCGGGGTAGTAGCTAACATACTTGGATGTTTTGTTTGCCAGGTCTTACTAATGCTTTAAAGCTTATTCAACCAATCAAGGACAAATACCCAGGTATCACCTATGCGGATTTGTTCCAGTTGGCGAGTGCTACAGCAATTGAGGTTTCAGCCTTTCCTCCGCTGAATTATCTTACTAGGTCATTCTGACAGATGACCAGTAGACTCTATGTATGTACTAATTTCTTTTGTCAATCTCATTCCAGGAAGCCGGTGGCCCGAAACTTCCGATGAAGTATGGGCGGGTAGATATCGCAGCGCCCGAACAATGTCCACCTGAGGGGAGGCTTCCTGGTTAGTGTTTCTGATAAATTCATCATTTTAACAGCGATGTCTTCTTCCGTGTTTGAATGTCTGAATTTACATTTTTGGGAGAGTACTTATCAAGGTGAATAAATTGACTGATGTTACATGTGCATGTTACGCAGATGCTGGCCCACGTATACCTGCTGAACACCTTAGGGAGGTATTCTATAGGATGGGCCTTGATGACAAGGTGTGGGAGGATGCGAGGAACTTGAAAACAAATCATGTTTACCCGCTTGTTACTGATAACTTGAGGTGCTTGTGCAGGAAATTGTTGCATTGTCCGGAGCACACACACTTGGAAGGTCACGCCCTGACAGGAGCGGCTGGGGAAAGCCAGAAACAAAATATACAGTATGTTTTTCAATTAGGAGCCAAAACTCAAAACCCAAATCATGCTTTAAAAATCTTCGCAACCATGTTCATACTTGATTATGATTAGTTTCAACTGGTCGCCAATCATCTGGCCGAAACTAAGCTCTCACTGTTACTGTGTGTCTACAGAAGGACGGGCCTGGTGAACCTGGAGGGCAATCATGGACGGCTGAATGGTTGAAGTTTGATAACAGCTACTTCAAGGTGGGCCCCATTTTCTTTCATGCTTTACTGACTAAAATTTTCATTGGAGTCCCGATCATTTGAGGTGTCAACAATGGTTTCAGGACATAAAAGAGCAAAGGGATCAGGAGCTTCTAGTATTGCCTACAGATGCTGCACTATTTGATGACCCATCATTCAAGGTAAACCTAATTGTTGTCTCTTTATGGCTGGTGATACTGCTATGAAATAGCAATACCAAAATTCACTTTTTGCGCACACGCAGGTATATGCGGAGAAGTACGCAGAGGACCAGGGTGCATTCTTCAAAGACTACGCCGAAGCCCATGCTAAACTCAGCAACCTTGGTGCAAAGTTTGATCCTCCTGAGGTGAGCCCGCCATCCTCCCATGTCCATGCCTAAAGAGGAAACGCGGCAGAAAGGAAGTTCAGATCTTTAGGCTCTTGCATTCCACATGTACTTCTTCTAGCTGCTCAAGTTTTGGTAAAACCTGAGGCATGATTTGATATTACCCTGAAGGGATTCTCGTTGGACGAGGACAAGGGTGCCGTGGCAACTGAAGAGAAGGTGGTTGCTGATCCAGCACCAACAAGTGATACTAATGGCGCAGGACCACAGCCAGAGCCCTTCGTTGCCGCCAAATACTCTTACAAGAAGGTTTACACTTATACAATCTATGCCTGGCTCTAAGATGTTTGGACGCAGCATGCTAGTGAAGTAGTGCGCCAAAATTTAAAAAAGGGTGGCTCTGTGAGTACCTTTGAAATATTTGAAAATTGTTTGTGTGTGAACTTTTGCAGAGAGAGCTATCCGACACGATGAAGCAGAAGATCAGAGCCGAGTACGAGGGCCTTGGAGGCAGCCCAAATAAGCCTATGAAGTCCAACTACTTCCTCAACATTATGATCGTGATCGCAGGGTTGGCATTCTTGACGTCTCTGGTCGGGAACTAAGAGCGGTGGTCTGACGAGTCTGTCTTTTTTTTTCATCTGCTGTAATTAACCATTTTCCAGGGACTGGTCGGCATGCAAGATGAGCATGTGAAACAAATGCAATGCTTTTGGTCATCTTACATTGTCTTGAGTTTTCATCATTCGAAGTAACATGAGGCAAAACCAGTAAATTGCTGGAAACACTGAACCGGTCGATCAACAAATCAATATGATACCTCATTACAAGCTAGATTTCAAGAAGGGCAGCCTCCATCGACTTTTGCTGTTTCCCTAGGACTTTTTTGTTCCATGTGTGTTCTAAAAGTATCGCGATGGTTTTTGCAACTTTTTTTGCCAAACCATGGGAAATATTTGAATGTTGTATGTGCATAGTAAAATATTTACACAATGTGTTTGAAATGTTCCAATATTTTAACATTTATGTAGAAAATACTCCCTAGCTGAGCATTGTGGAAATGGACATCACAGATGGGCCTACGCATCATCCTCTCCCGCCCCTGGAATGGGTATATTGCCCCAATGGTATAAGATAGTGTGGTTTTCGGGCTGTAAGCAATCATGGACATAGGCCCACGTACCTGTACTTTTTGATCCAAATTGAAATGGGCTCCAAGAGAAACTATCATGATCCAAAAAACATAGTGCAAACCTAGAGGACACTGACAGTATAAGTACTCTATAAACACTCGGAAAAGAAGAAGAAAAAGTACCCTCAATCCAAGTATTAACAGACTAGAACTGTGTAAAATTTAAACTCCAGAGGGTAAAAATTGTATTTGAGATTGACATATTGTAATACCAACAAGAGCAAAACAGGTAAATGTTACTAGTTAACTGTGCAGACAGTGTAGTGAAGAGCATATACTACAGGGCACAAACGCTACGAGTGCATGATGCAGTATTAGTTGGGTGGAAAGCTGGGCAACTGACACGTGCATCCGAATTCTGGGCAGTGGTATTGATATCAATTGTGTCAATGGAGGAAAATCCCCACAAATAACTGTCCTATGGCCTTCCACTGGTTATTCAAGTTAGCCATGACAGACCAATATGCATTGCATACATGAACATTTGAGCATGCTGTTTCAAGGAATTTAGCCGTACTACAACCTAAAGTGGTCGAGGAACAGACTTGCCTTTATTTTAGATAAGGTACTAGGTTGTTATGAATCACACATATGCAGGAAATATATTGAAGGATTTCATGGGAACCGTGGTTTCAGAATATGTTGTTAACTGTTGGCAGATTAGAGTTACATGGTCAGGAAGACCTCCACAAGGGTCCTATGTGTACTACTTGTATGGAAATGTGTCTGAAATTAAGAAAATGTTTTCTGGCTAATCGCTATGCATGTTAAGTTGCTAACTGATGGTGGAACATTCCGTTTATCATTATGTTGGGGTAGCTGCAAGGGAAAAGCAGTACAGCACCTCTTCATGTTGGGCGCTTGATTCCAGGCATCTCCAACTTTGAATGACCCGTCCTCTGCTTTGGAAATCCTTATATGTTTCTCCCCCCAAAAAGAGCAGCACAAAGAATCTGAAAGAGTATTTCTGGATGCATAAAAGGAACTAGGTTTCATCAATTCAGAAGTAATAACAATGCTTGCATATATGACAGAATTATAGTTTTCAGTTCAGAACAAAAACAGTAAGGCCTACTTAAATAGCTCACACATGGCATCGGTCATTGATTTTATACGCAAATGGAAAAAAGATTGATATACCTGCAAAATATGCTTAAAAGAATCTATCATATACACTAGTGCTGATACAAGAGTTATTGACGATGGAGGTACTATCATGAAACCAAGTCAACGACTGACTTGGGCATATGCATTAATGCACAGTAAGAGATGAAGCAGAAATTTAAATGTTCCCTTCAATCGAACAATGGTAGAATGTAAGCAGAGAATGGCGCCTTCTCTTTCTTGCCAAACACACAGGAATGATGAATTCACAAAGAAAAAATAAATCAAAAGTTGAAACACATCCTTACACCCCTGGCCCTGAGATCTGATTATCTCCATAATCCTCCCGTCTGACCACAAAGATCGTCCCTGTAGCTGATAGGTCACACTGAACAAGATGTACATACATATTTGCATAGCTGGACAAACAAAATAACTTAAAGAAATGAATAAATGGATACACGTAGCGTTTCTGAGAAAATGCAGGTGGTACGTATCAAGTTTCAGTTCCTCGGGATTTCCTGCTTTGTCCCGATCCACAGAACTTCAGTCACAGAAAGTGTTTATAGAACAGAAAAGAAAATACAGAACAACAATCAGCAAACACGGTTCTTTGTTTGCTAGTTGCTTAACTCAGAACATAACACTGCACTATCATCAATCCATCGCTGCCATTGAGGTCGAAGAATACAAATTACAACGAAGTAGATCAAGTCCTGCTGAGAACACGGAAATCGCCCCCCTTTTGCTGCAGAAGGAATTACCACTAGTATCTGGAACCAGCAGCGCGATCAGCAGCTTCAATCAATTCGACGCGCGTGATCCGGGCTTGGGTGGGAGTCTTGGCGCGCGAGGGCTCGATGTTGGCGTAGGAGAGGTGGGCGGCGATGGCGATGAGCGCGGCCCCGGTGAGGAAGAGGCAGGCCGTGGCGGCGCGCTGCCGCCGGGTCGCCGTGTACTGCAGCCACACCATCGCCTCCTACTCCAAACAGGGGGAAGGCTCGATGAAAACGAGCTGGGATTAGTACTACAGACCCTAGTCTCGGCCTCTGCGGGGCATGGAAGACGGGATGGACATGTTTACGCCAACTAAATGGTGAAGACGGATGAATTCCAATACGTCTTCGCCTGTTGAGAGCGCCTCCCACACAGCGAGCAGAGTTTTCTTCAGAACAGAGCTGAGCGCAAAGGGCAAGGATGAGATTTTCAGTCTCCACTTAATAGTATGAGAGCCTGTAAATTCGCAGAGTTGTTGAGGCATTGTTCGCGATTGTTCGGCATCAAATTAAGCAGCTCGCATCATCAATTCATGGATGGACATGGACTAATTACAGTACGCACGACATGAACTGCACGGTAATACACACACCACTGCTCAGAGGAGATTGACTCGCTACTAGTACTACCAAACACTGTGTCTAATAGATCCGACCTATCGACGACGACACTCGGCAAGGTCGACGGCGGCGCTGCTGCTGCCGCCGTGGGCGCAGGGCGAGCCGGTGGAGATGTCGTCGTCGTGTTCGCCGCCGCTTCTGCCCCTGCTCCCAGCGTATTCCTCCTCCTCGGCGATGGGGTCCAGGCATCCCTCCGCTGCACGGCGAAGGCGGAGCCGCTGCAGCCGCACGACGTGGAGGGTCTCCGGCGGGGCCGCCTCGTCGGCGGCGAAGCGGAGGACGGCGCAGGGCGATGTGGCAGGAGCCATGACCGGCGGGTATCTTGTTGCGCGATCAGTTGGGGCGACGCGGAGACGGAGAGGTTCTTCGCCTGCTGGCTGCTGCTGCTGTGTGCGGTGTTGGTGGTGGTGCACGGTGGGTTCAGCGAAGAGCAGAACAGCTTTGTCTGTTTATATAAAAGCCGGCGAGGCGGGCAATGGAGCACGCGACCGGCAGACGATTTGTGGCCACCCGCGTTGGCGCGTGCGCCCGTAGCTTCGAGGTAGGTGCTGCTTGTTGGGTCGCCTTCCTCCCTTCCTTTTCAGTCGCTCTCGCTTGCACCACGGACAAAGCAACCCACATCCTTTCTATGCAAGTATCTTCTCTGTTCCTGTACAATCGCACCACGCACGTACGCCTTCTCTTGCACCTCGGCTAGGCCACTCCTCTGCACGTGGACGCACTACACAACGCATACATTGCGTGGCCTAACCGCAACTTGCTAGTTTCAGGCACGGGCCTGCAAAACGTGCTCAATTACTTCCTCCCATTGGCCGGCCTGCTTCACTGCAATGCTAGTGCTTCAACTACCACAATCATCGGCACATCATGCATGCTTCCCACGGGAAGCTCAATTGTTTTGGCCTAATTGACGCACGCAGTGATCTAACAAAAAAAATCTATTTTATTAGGGCATCTCCAACGCCAACTCCCTCCGCAATCATCTGGACCGTGATGTCCGAAGCATGTAAGTCATTCAGCGCGGGTCTGTATCGTTGTATCAGTCCACGGCGCAGTCTAAACGCGTTTTCTTCCGCAAACTGGAGATAAACGTGAGGAAGGTTTGCGGGAGTCCGGACCACTGTCACGCCCGCTTCTGACCGCCATGACCCACCCAAACCCCTCCTCCCTTGCCCGCACGCGTTTCCTGCTCGCATTCATGTCGTTGTAGAGCGCGCCGCTCACCATTGATGATGGCTTAGGGCGGACGCGGCCTCTCATTGCCTCCGCCTCTGAAGCAGCGCACTGGTCGGAGGCGCCGCTCGCTTCACGCATCGGATGAACATGCCTCCTCGCCGCATTCAAACGGCTCCATTAACCCCGCGTGGAAGCCAAGAAACGTACTTCGACCACACGTCTGTTCATGAGCGGGTCGGGGTTAAACGCAACATCGGGCAAGCTCCTCCCGTCCGCCCTCTATATAAACCAGGCAGACACCAGGGAAGAATCGCACCACTCCGCCGCTCCCCATATCCTCCTTCCACCATTTTCTCCAATCTTTCAATGGCACCCGACGAGCCGGAAGAGCAGTTCTCCGGCATAAAAACCCGGCTGGGTGGCCCGCCGAGCCGTCCGGATACGAGCGAGGAAGCTCGCTGCTCCATCTCCCTCGCCTAGCCCGACAGAACCACGCCAACGCTACTGTCGATGACTCCCCGTCATCCCATGCTTCCTGCGCCACCGACACACTGAGACAGAAGCCGGGTGCACGGAGGTTGATGAGTCGGTGGCCAGCGCATCCGCATCCGCCGCCATCGTTTAGGAGAAGTAGAATACGGGAGGCCGCCGCTGCTTGAGTCCCATGAAGGCCACCGCCGAGGCACCACTAGCATACACAACCGGTGTCTTGCCCTCTTGCGGGCCACCGCCGTCC